ATCCGATGAAATAGCTATCGATATCTGATCAACATGATTTTTTACAGACATAGAGTATTCGACAAGTTTTACACACTGAAGATTTTAGATTATTGAAACGGGACTCGTGGTGGGCTTCCACTGGCCCAACAATATCCTCCAATCAGATCTGCGACTGGAGGGAAGCAAATTCCCTTTGTCTTTTTGTGATTATTTTATCCAAAAAAATCTCATTTTAGCTTATGTCAATCGAAGAAAATTAATCCCACTGATTTTGGGTAGTGAAACAACCATTGATCATGTTTGATTTGGTTTTTAGAATTTTATTTAGAATTTTATCTTCTAAAAATTTAACAATTAATTTCATGAAGAAAATGAAAAGGAAAAATAAAAATAAAAATCAAAGAACTTTTTATTTTTAGAAAAATTTATCCATAAATCCCAGATTATTGATTTATTTTGTCGTGATAGTTTTCTTATCAACTAATAAGTCCTTTCTTTTATATATTTTATTTTGAAAAGTTGTATTTATTTGATTTGGTGCCATTTGAGTTTAAATGAATATCCTTTTGTGATTCATTTTTCCAATTTTCTGATTCGTTTTTAGGATGGGAATGGAAAGGTAAGGTGTGAAAGATTTTTTTTTTGGGGATTAGTGGTTGAAATGTTGGTTGTTGAGCGTGAAAATCTACATTTATATTGGTATGATTTTCTAGTGTTACATTAGAGTGTTACATTAGAATGGTACGTTTGGAAAAAGTACACTAAAAATTTTTTGTGTGTTATATTGATTGAAATGTTATATTTAGGAAAAATTCACTGAAGAGTTTTTTTTTTTGAAATGTTATATTGTCATGTTTGAGAAAAATACGCTGAGGAATTTTTTAATACGTTACATTGGAGTGTTATATTTGGAAAAAATACATTAAATAGTTTTTTTGTGTTACATTAATTAGAGTGTTATATTTGGAAAAAATACACAAAGAAGGTTTTTTGAAATGTTACGTTGTTGCGTTTGAGAAAAATACATTAAAGAGTTTTTTAATGTGTTGCATTGGAATGTTACGTTTGGGAAAAACACATAAAGAAGCTTTGTGTGTTTTATTGATTGGAGTGTTACGTTTGGAAAAAGTACATTAATGAGTTTTTTTTTTTTTTTTTTTGAAATGTTACGTTTGAGAAAAATACACTAAGGAGTGTTTTTAATGATACATTGGAGTGCTACGTTTGGAAAAAGTATATAGTAAGGGATTTTTTTAAAGTGTTACATTTAGTAATTTTAATATTATGAAAAAATTCACATTTATTTATCAACACATAACACACGCACAATTATACTTAGTTTTTTATGTAATTCACACCATAATGGAACATTTGGGCCTATAGAAAGAGAGAGAGGACCAAGTTGATCATACAATCACTATTTGCTATTTATTGGTGTTTCACCCTCATTTTTATGTAGTTTAATCTTATTGGAGTACAAAAATAATTTTTACAAATTCATAAAAAAAATGTTTTTAATGTTTATTTTTGACAAATTAATTTCTTTTTTTTTTAAAAAAAAAATCATAAAATAATTTTAGAGAATCAAGCCAAACATGACCAATAGGTTTCATGGAAACAGATAAGTAGATAACTAAATGCTAGTGATTAAATAAAAAAATACAAAGAAAAAAATATAAAGAATGATGGGTCTTTATTTATTTAATTTTTTCCCCCTAATAATAAAAGTGAAGATGATTCTATATAAAGATGATGATGGCAGGTGAGATGGTGGGAAGAGTATTGTAGTGATAAGAGTATTATAGAAATTGCACATTAGTGATAAGAGTACTATAGTAATTGCACAATTGAAGCAAATGTTTTAACTGACAATGGATGAAAGTGGGGAGGCTCTATTTGCACACCATCTATTCTCTCAATTCACACTATTATCCTAATTTTTTTTAATTACCATTATATCCTTTAATTAAATTACCTACACAACCCTCCCTCTCTCTCAACTCACCACCGCCAGCTACCACTTTCTCCCAGCCCCACGACCGTCTGCTGCCATCTCCTCCAACCCTACCAGCATTGATTGCCACCCCTTAACTCCAATAGCACCATTCCCACCTACCTCAACCCCACCACCACTGGTTGTCATCTATTCCACTTTCATTGCCTCTCCCGCTGCCCCTACCTCTGGCACCATCTTCTCTCTACAACAACTCTCAAGCACCTCCTTCGGCGAACACCTTCCATTACCACCTCTTCTTCTCTTTTTCGCTTGCTCGCTCTCTCTATTTGATTGATCATCGATCGATCTTAGTCAATCGCGAGGGTTAGGGATAGCGGTCACTAAGGCTATGATGATGGCGCGGTGTGGTTGTGGAGGTGTCGGAGTGGGGCGGAGTTGAGGTAAGGAAGGGCTGAAGGAGTCTGGGAGAGAGACGGTGGCAGTCGGAATGGATTATGGAGGGTGGATGAAGGCGGGGTGGGCCACCAAATCTGGTGGTAACTGGGTTGGAGGTAGGTAGGGTTAGGGTATTTTGGGCATAAAGGGTGTGAATTGAGAAACTAATAAAAATTGAAGATGATGTGGAGGTGTGAACTGTAAATGGTGTGTATTGAGGTGAACTATGGTGTGTAAATAGAAACTCCCATGGAAGTGTGATTTCAACGAATAAACGGAGTAACAATGTGATTTCAAAAAAACATAGGGGCATTAGTATAATTTACCCATAATACAAACACGTTGATATTTGCTATACCAAAACACATGCACATGGCATTTATTTTGAATCCACACAAGGATATAAATATGGTTTGCCCGCCTGAAACTCACCCAGCCCAACCCGATCCCCCGGAGTTATGGCTTTAGCCATGGTTTTTTTGGCTTGTCCGGAAACCTGGCCCACTGGCCTGATCAAGGCCTGCTTAAAGGCCCGTCCTGTCTAATGCCCAAAGTCATTTTCAAGCTTTTTTGGTGAAAAAAATTTAACAAAATGTCAAGCTCGGCTTGCTGACCCACTCAAGGCTAAATTATCCCCTGGGCCTAGGATTGTACCTAGATTTTTGGAAAATAGACCATCTTGGTCCAATTTTTGATGGGAGCTTAATAGGCCCGAGGGCCAGCTGGCCTGAGCCCGGACCCAAGCGGGTTGGGTCGAGCCATCTTTACATCCCTAGGCTGACACACGCACTCCTTATATCATTACATGGATGTTTGTTTGAGGGTTAAAAAAAAAAAAAGAGAATTCGCAGATATTATTAGTCAAAAATCAATTCAATCCATATATTTTAAATTACATTAATTTTATATTTAAACTTTGAATCAATTTTATTTCATTGTCAATTTCTGTCTATAATTAGACAGAATAATGTGACACCAAATTACATTTTACCCTTTAAACTATCCCTCATAAATCAATTAGACCCATGAATATAAAAAAATAAATATTTAATAATAATTTTAATCTACAAAAGTGAGAAAAAAAAGTTTAAATAAAAAAAAATTGTCTATTTGTGTGGTTGAGTATTTTCCAAGAGAGTTGTTGCTAACTTTTGCTCAGTGGTGCCATTCAATCAATGATAATACCAAGTACTAATGTCGATTTTGTACGCAAAGATCTCCACATATTCATTTTTATCATTTAATATAGTTTACCAAATGTTGGAAGAAGAATAATTATAGTTTAAATTTTTACTCACACAATTTTAAAAATATTTCTAGTCGATCAATCTGATTAGAATAAATTTGGTGAATAAACTAATGACAATTGGAGAGAGAGAGAGAGAGAGAGCAACTTAGGAATTTGACTCAATTATTTTCATCAAGACTCGCTTAAGGAAATTTGAAACTTAAAGGGTAACTGACAAACACCCCTTGAGATTTATTTAAATTACAAATTATACCTTGTGATTTTAGAAATTACATTATGCCCCTAAGATTTCTAATTTTATAACAAATAGGTCTTTTTATTTGTAAATCATCAAGTTAATTAACAGTTTTTAATAATGTTAAAATTTTATTTTAATTAATAATTCAGATAATTTTATTATTGTATAGGTGAACAGTTAGAAATTTCACTTTTTTAATTAATTTTATCAAATAAAAAATTCTGATAGGGAGATATTTGTAATTTTTCAAATCACAGGGGCAATTCATATTTTAAGTAAACCTCAGGGGGTGTATTTGTAATTTACCCAAACTTAAAAAGACAATTTTAAGTGAGACTTTTTTTCAATATTTTTTTTTTTTTGTAAATTGCTTGGTTCCCATTTTTTAAAAACAGTTTTCAGAAAATTCTACACTCTTATTTTCTGTTTTTTTTGTTTTTACTGAATTTTTTTAATATTTTATGCAAATTTTTTACTTTTTAGACACACCTAACATAAATACACCTAAAAAGTAAAAAAATTGTAAAAAAAAATCTTTTAAAAATTCACTAAATACCAAAAATACAAAAAAATACAAGAATTTAGTACATTTTTTGTATTTTTATGTATTTCTTAATTTTTTAAAATATTTTTTCACAATTTTTTTACTTTTTAGACACATCTAAGTAAGGTGCATCTAAAAAAGTAAAAAAAATGTTTAAAATTTAAAAAATATTCACTAAAAACAAAAAAATACGAAAATCAAAAAACTAAATTTTCAAAAAACTTAATCCAGAAAATTCAAACCAAACACAGTGATTGAGATTTTATGTTCCTCATTTTTGAGATAAAAATTTATTAATTAAATATTTAAATTTAATTGTTTATATTCAGTGGTCTAATTAATTTTTGATAGATAGTTTGGGGATTAAGATGGAGTTTTAAATGAATTTTGGTACCACCTCAACAAATTCCATCTTATTATAAACGATGATGACAACTAATGGAGTGGTGAAATTGATCCAAACTGAATAGTTTAAATGTAAAATTGATTTAATTGAAAAAACATGGATATGAAATGATTTTTGAGTGATAGTTTTGAAGATAAAATGAAATTTCCTCTAAAAATAAATATGTTACTATCTTCATTCAAAACTCACCATGTTTGCCGCCGCCGCTGCTGCCACTATTAGGCTTGTTGGGTGCAGGAGGGTCCAGCAAGAAGGGGTATAATTCATACCTTATGTTACAGCTTGGTGACGCAGATCTCCCTCCTTTCTTTCCGGCCACGGATTTAAGAAATTCAGAGACAACAGAATTTAGGCAAGTACGGCAATCCGTTGGTGTTAAATCAGGCGTACACTGCACCATGCTATACAACTTAATAGAACTGGTCACATTAGTTTGACTGGTTGCATACATGTGGTTCAAAGGATTGGAAGTTGCCACAATACTCAGATTAGAGAATGTCTTTCCCAAAATCTCATTGAAGTTATCTGGCAGGGTTGCGTTTGCTGCGTTCCACGTATAAAATTGTGGGAGTATCTCCATGGTAGAAAAAGAACTGTTCGAGTAGCGAATAAAACACTCATCATACCATATAATGGCCTCTTTGTAGGGCGAGCAATTTTTTAAAATCTCAACGCCAGCCGTGTCGATGCAATTCTTGCAGATACTGGGTTGAACATCACCTCTGCAGAGGAATAGGCCATAAACTTTGTCAGGATCATCCCCTTGGGTAATATTGGAGAAGGAGTCACCGCCATTATTGTAAAGAGACCGGATGAGGAGGATTTTGAGATTGTCTTCAAATTGACTACCCGCAGTGTAATTTCCGTTATGTTTGCAAAAGTAAAACCGGTATAGGGAGAGGTCTTGTTGTTTTGCCATGATCAAAGAGTGTGGGATGACAAGCAGGAGAGTAAAAACCAAAGGAATAAGAGGATTTATTCCTGAGTTAGAAGAGAGAACAACTACAACTGCAGGGATCATTCTTTTCCTTCCCATGTTTTACAAGAAACAAAACTTGTTTCAAAAGATGTTCAGGGCCACACATAAATAAATAAATTGCTCGCCCCATCACACCAACTTTGACTAATGTAACGTGGAAAATTGTACCAATACGAAAAAATTTATCAACTGCCGACCACCTCAATCGAGACTGTTTTTATTTAAAAAGATATATATATATATATATATACACATAAAAACTTAACCTGAATATAATTCAATTAATTAAATTATCAATCTAAATAATTGATATAGAAAGATAACAAATTCATATGAATCTAATAAGTGATTATTAATAAAACTCACATACTCTCTCTCTCTTTCTCAAAATAAAAAAACTTTACATAAATAAGTGATTATCAATTAATTAAGTTATCAAAATTGGTTTATCAATTGGGCTAATTTGGGATGGGCTAAACAGGCTAAATTAGCATAAAAAGACAAAATATGCTGCTTTAGCTAATAAACCAAAATGTCACGTTTAAACCATAATTATTTCATTTTTCCTCTCACAACCACCATCCAAACCAAAAAATAAAAATAAAAATAAAAACAATTTCCCAAGTGGAGCTAATTTAGCCAAATTAGCCAAAAAAAAAAATCAAAAAACCCAGTTAAATTAACTCTTCCCAAAGTGAAGGCAATATGTGTTAAGTTTTTTTGTTGTTGGCAATCCCGTTTGACAAAACTCTTTTCAATTGTAATTTTATTCGATCTTTTATTTTAGTGAAACCATGAGTTTTTAGATGCGAATCCAACCTGAATTGTGTCTATGCAGAAGAGTTTGTGATCTTAATCCTATCTTGTTCGTCACTTCGCTAACTATGTTGGGGATCAAGTTGCCCGGTCAGCCCGAAGTTGTTTGTCCGCTTGAGCGGCCGATTGTGCGCTCGAGCGGAGATGCAATCCTTTAAGAAGTTTCACTCGCTTGCAAAAGTACTGGGAGTTATGTTTTTGCGCTCGAGCGGCACTTTCTACACTCGAGCATAGACCCTTGTTCTGAAACATGCATTTTAGTTAGTCCGCTCGAGCGGCCATTCTTGTACTGAGCGGAGATCGCGATTCTGCTTTCCATAAATATGAGATTATTTCTATTTCTAGGGTATGACTTCCAAATCTTCTTCTTGGGTGTTAGGATTTTCTTCTAGAGATTCTTTGCTTGTTTCCTTTGATATCTATGAGAGTTTATATCATAAATTGAATAGATTATATTAAAGGTGTTGTTTATTTTGTTTTATTAACAAAAGAGAGAGTTGTTCTTCAGTGAATTTTGTGAAATTTGGGTCTAAAACTTTGGTAGATTCCGGAGTGGGTCATCATCGTGGATTCGACCTCGGTGTTGTGGATTCTACATTGGACAAGATAATTCCGAGGTGAAGACGAGGCTGGAAGAGGCACATAAGAGTCGGTTCGATTCGGGCGTAGATTCGCTAGGTAATTGAGAGTACACTTGTGTAATTCCTTTATGTCTTCTTAGTGGATTATTTTATGGTTTTTGCCCGTGATTTTTTTTTTATCACAATTGGAGGCGCCCCAATTGTAGTTTTTCTACGTAAAATCGTTGTGTTGATTTGTCTTTTATTATTTGATTGTGATTGTTATTTACTGCTTAAAATTAACACATAATCACAAATCAATATCTCGGGGATTATTAAATTTTTCAATATGTATTATTGATATTAAAAGCCTCATGTAAATAAGTGATTATTAAGAAACTATCACAGAACAAATTCTTATGAATCTACCAAAATTTAGAAATAATTATTTTTCTTAAACAAGAATTAACTATAAAACTAAATACAATCATCTCCCATCAGTTGAGATTCACAAAAAGATGAACCCCAACACATGTAAAGAGTTGTATCGGATATTCCGTGATCGATTTATGTGTTCTTAAACTTTTTTAGAACATATGCTACAACCCTAAGTTGCAAAGTTGTGTTGGGAAAAAAAAAAAATTACAAAAAGAATAAATTCATCTTTAAATATCAAATTTTTTTTTTTTTTGTTTTTTTTTTTGGTGTTGATTTTCAAAAAAAAAAAATTGAAATAATAATAATAATCAACATCTTCATCAACATCATCACCATTAACACATCATCATCGGCGAACATCTTCATCAACAGCAACATCATCACTATCAATACATCATCATCGCCATCAACATCTTTCTCCTCCGCCATCATCGTCTTCTTCCTCCTCTTCCTTTCTATATATATATATATATATATATTTGGAACACTCATTTATTTTATTTTATTCTCTAGATTATGTGCATGCTATAATCCTAAGAAATATTCTGAGGAAATTAAAAAAAAAAATACATACATATTTTCTTTACTTATCTTTCTCTATATAGTATTAATAAATTGATAATCAAATTAATTGAAATGCTATTTATTCCCTTAAAAGCCTTCATTTTAAAAGTGGACTGCCAAACAGATAGTTGATGAAGTAAATTAGGCAGACTCCTAGACTAATTGAAATTGTAGACACTCCTTTAGAGCATCTCCAACGGTAGTAGGCATTTTACCTATCTAAATATTACTATAAAGTATATATTTTATTTTGCCTATCGACTGTTTTATGTTTTTACTCCAACCATGCTCTTTATTTTAGCTATTTATCCAAATACTATTAATTTTATAGAATGCTACGTCAACAACAAAGATGGAGGGAAATGATCCTAATGATTGAATACATTTTGCCTAGCGTTGAAGGCTAGCTACATGTAGCTAGTGAATATGAGCTGAGGCAAAATGCCTAATCATATGCCTAGTGCATTGGAATTGAAAAAAGTGAATCACACTAGGCATTTTAACTAACAAGTATTATATGCCTAGTGCATTGGAGATGCTCGGTCACTAGGCAAAGCCAGCAACGCGTGGGCCTCCTCCGAATAATTTAATTTTTATGTTAGGTTTGATTTATTAGAATGAACTGAAATGAAATAATTATTTCACCATAATGCTTATTTTTATATTTAGTTCACTAAGAAAAAGTGATAAAAAAAATATTTACAAATAGCATAATTATTCATTATTATGAGAGAATATTCATTCTATACAGAGGCTAAGGAATGATAATTTCATTCTATTCAATTTCATTATAGTGAACCAAATAATATATTATTGTACTAGTAGTTTAAAAAAAAATCATTGAATTTGTTTTTAATAATTGAATTGGTGAATTATTTAATAATAATGGATGGTTATGGTTATTTTTTTAAATATATGGGTTGTTTATAGAATATTGTCAACTATACCGATTACAATTACCTCCTGAGAAATAATTTGCTTTTAAGTTGAAGTTGACCGAATTTTACATTTAATCAATTACATGATAAAAGAAATTTAAATAAATTAATAATATTAACCATCGAAAATGTCCAAATCCTATTTCAATAATTATGATTTATGTCCATCTTAATAACTATGATTTATGTCAATTATAAAAAAATCATAAGAAATTGTTCAAAATATATAATATTATAATTATTATGAAAAATAAATTATATTTGAATTATTTTTCTAATACAATATTTTCAAATCGGATTTATCACCTAATATTTTAGATAATTTTTGTGCATAGCATAGATAAAAAAAACTAATAATTTTAGTGTTTATATATGTATGCAAATTTTGTGTCAGTACAAGCAAAAAAAAAAAAAAAAAAATTAAACAAAATATATATTTTTTTAATATTTTGTATGGGCCCCAATTTTTAAATTTGCATTGGGCCTCATAAAGTCAGGATCAACATGCGTACCTCTCATGCGAGTAAACAGTCATGTTGTAGAGCTCTAATTAGAGCTGCTACAGTGTAGCTCTAATGAGCTGTCCATCTATTAAAAAAAAGAAAAAAAGTGAAGTAAAGACAAAAAATGGAGAATAAAAAGAGAAATTAGTGCTCTATTAAAGGTCTATTTTTAGAGGTCTAAATCATTTTTGTGCGAGTAAAACTTCAATAATAATACCATGATACCATGTCAATATTGATACCACACATAAGAGGGTGCATCCTATCATAAAAATAAAATTAGCCGTCCAACTAAACTCACCAACACTCATTTGCATAGTGGGATATATTATAATTACACCAAGCGGGCCCTCTAAGGCGACTAAGGCAGTTGCCTTAGGTCCTAAATTTTGAATAAAATTTAATGTTCTTAATTAAGAAAGTGTATTATATCGTATTATTTTAATATTAGTTTAATTTATTTATTTTTATATTGTCGTATAATGTTATTTTGATTTGTGTCCGATTGATATTTAATATAAAAACTTTCACTCTTAGTTAAAAGTAACTTAACAAATTGGATTTATCACCTTATATTTTAGATAATTTTTGTGCATAGCATAGATTAAAAAAAAACTGATAGTGTTTACATATGTATGCAAATTTTGTGTCAGTAAAAGAATAAATAAATAAATTAAACAATCTTTTTTTTTTTTATAATATTTTGTATGGGTCCCAATTTTTAAATTTGCATTGGGCCCCATCAAGTCAGGATCAAGATGCGTACCTCTTATGCCAGTAAAACTTCAATAACGATACCATGTCAGTATTGATACGTGGTTACACATAAGAGGGTGAATCCTATCATAAAAATAAAATTAGCCGTCCAACTATACTCACCAACACTTATTTGCATAGTGGGATATATTATAATTACACCAGGCCGGCAATCAGGTGCGATTAAAGCGGTCGTCTCAGGTCTCAAATTTTGAATAAAATTTAGAATTTTTAATTAGAAAAATGTATTATATCGTATTACTTTATAATGATTTCAATATTAGTTCACTTTATTTATTTTCATGTTGTCGTATAGTGTTATTTTGATTCGTGTCCGATTGATGTTCAATGTAAAAACTTTCACTTTTAGTTAAAAATAACTTAGCAAGTGTATGTATAGACCATAAGTTGAATTTTATAAAATTTATTTCTATTAAATGAAATCATTCATAAAATGTTTGATTTTAATTCAATTGTATTTTTCTAATTAAAAAAATTGTATCTTATTACTATATATTTTTTACTAGATTGACTCT